TAGATAGATAGATAGATAGATAGATATTATATAATATAATATATTATTATATAATATATTATATTATTGCAGTATCACAGTTATTTTAACTTTAAAAAACCAGCATGATTCAGATTTATTCCTGTTTAATGAAGTTCAATCTTTCCAAAAATGATATATTGGGAAAACTGAGATGACAATAAATGCATTCTTATGTCTCAAAACTACATCTATTCAGGCTTTTAAGTAAGTTGTATTGACTGTCGTAAAGTACAAGGTAATTTTGTTCTATGTAATTTGATGCATTTTCTCCAGTCTTTTAAAAGAACAGTAGTGCAAAAGGTCAACCACTGTTTGCTGTAATTTTAGGTGAGCTATTTTGCCTCATGCAGCTGCCTGAGCAATCAAAGGGAATTTCCCACCTTCATGAGGACAATGCCTAGTGACGCCTTCCAGATTAAAGCCCTGGCCCAGTTGGTCCGCTATTTTGGCTGGACCTGGGTGGGAGTTATTGGAGTAGAATCTGATTATGCTCGCTTTGCCATACAGCTTTTCCTTCAGGAATCAGTGCATTATGGTGTATGTGCTGCCTACACACATTTCTACCCTGTGGGTCTAAGCCACCAGGATCTTGAAAAGCTTCTTAATATAATTCAGGTGTGTTTTACATACTACAACTACTATGTTTTTAAGTTCATCATGGAAAATGATTGAAAGGAGGTTACATGTTCTTTAATGCTCATATGTCCAGTGCATGACTACTGTGAATAAACAAACAAAAAAGTTTAAATACTGTATTCAGTTATAGTTAAAAGATAAGCACTTTATACTAATTACTTTTGAAAAACTTTTCTCTTTTGTTTTTTTTGTTGAGTTATTGCACTAATTTAAAAGGTTGTGAACAAAGGTTATTCTGTAAGAGATGTATATTTTATAGTACCTTTACTTTTACTATCTTTGCTTATTCAAGATATTTAATGGAAAAGAAAAGATCCACGACATCCTAACTCCGTAACTGTCATGTAATGTCATCTCTGAATTTTCCTTCACCAGAGGTCATCTTCAAAAGTCATCATTAACTTTTCAGGAGAGGCAGAAATGCAGGGCATTCTAAGAGAAATGCAACGTCTAAATTTGACTGGCTTTCAATGGATAGCCAGTGAGGCCTGGGCCACCTCTAAGTCGCTTTGGGAAAAATCAGACAATCTTCTAAAGGGCACTCTTGGATTTGCAATACAGAGAGCTATTGTGATACCAGGGCTGCAGCAACATCTTCTGGATCTCACACATTCAGCTATTCATAAATTAGCATTCTTAACAGAATTTTGGGAGGAAACATTTAACTGTCGACTAAATGGATCTGTCAACAACCACTTTCATGGGTTAGGAAGCAATCAAGGCAGAGCTCCGTGTAAAGGGACTGAAGATTTGAATGACGTTTACTCTCCTTATTCTGATGTCACGCAACTGCGAGTGTCCTATAATGTCTACAAAGCTGTGTATCTTGTAGCTTATGCCTTGCAAGATATGAGTAATTGCAAAGCTGGAGAAGGACCGTTTCTTAAAAAAACTTGTGCAGATCCAAAGAATTTTGAACCCTGGCAGGTGAGAGAAGTAAAATGCTGTATGCTATCCATATAATTTTAGAGACAATGAGAAGCATTTTTTAAATGCTCCTTATTTTTATTCCTTTAGCTTCTCCATTACATGAAGCTTGCAAATTTTTCCGCACTAGGAGAGAAAGTCAACTTTGATCAAAATGGTGACCCAATTGCTTATTATGATCTAATGAACTGGCAGAGGGGGCCTGATGGATATCTAAATTTGGTAAAAGTAGGTTTCTACGATGCCTCCCTTCCTGCTGGACGCAGCTTGGTCATAAATGACTCAGCAATTATGTGGCCAGTTGGAAAGCAGGTGTGTTCTACACAAACAGGCCTGAGACCATGTTCACCACTTAGACTCTTCTGTGCACTGCTGATTCACTCATCAGTTAAATTGATTGTATTGATGTGCAACATGCTTTCTTAAATAAGTATTATCCGTTCCTTAAAAGTTTTTGTTTGTATATTTTCAGTTGTATTTAATTAAAGAATTGTTGGCTTTCAAAGGTTTTGATTCAAAACTATATAGCATAGTTATCATCTCATTATTTCAAAGTCATTGTATTGTTTGTTTTTACAAATATTCATGAATCCTCCTTTAAGTTTTTAAGAGTAGTTTAATAACTTTTATCAATAATTTCAATGTACTTATATTGCACTTAACATTTAAAGTTGATTATGAACAAAATCTGAAAGCATTTTCTGATCCTTAACTCCCATTTTATTAAGTAACTTTTTATGAACACATACAGTATGTAACTACTGTCTATATAGAATCAAATATTTATTAAAGCAAGAGTTTTGTGTTAAGTTTGAAAGTATCTAATTCAGTTTTTTTACTTCTATATTTTTGATAATATATGAATACATTTAAAGAGAGACTAACATGTTAAATACTCATTAATGATTTTAACATTACATCTGAGTCTCTAATAGGCAGTCCAGTCTGTGTGCAGCAATAGCTGTCCTCCAGGTTCCCGTGTTGCCAGAAGAAAAGGAGAACCTATTTGCTGTTATGACTGTGTCCCTTGTGCTGAAGGAGAGTTTAGTAATACAACTGGTATGTCCTTTCTTTCACTATGAAAACACATTAAGTAAAGTTATAGATGGAGCTTGTATGTTCACCCTGTGCATCTGTAGGTATTGTTCTGGCTCTTAGCCGTCTGAAAATAACATTTATGTGAATAGCCAGTCTGAATTATCCCATAAAATATATATTTAGATAGGAATTTTGATACAAAAAGCAAGTTAAAGCTATTCAAATTTGACAAGCTTAAGTCTCATTTAAAATGCCATTGTGAATATCAATGTAACCTGGATATAAAGGATATAAATTTAAAAGAAAGGGAGGGAAACTTGGTTTTATGTCCTTCTTATTTTGTTTTTTCAGGTTTTCAAATTTAGGCCCAGTACAGATCTGTTTCTATCTTGCAATGCATGTTACCATTTTGAAATATATATTACACAGGCTATCTATAAAGGATGTGTGTCATTGTTGATACTGTACTTATCTCAGTCATTTTTTACTGGGACCTAGCGTACTGAGGGTATCTTTTTTTGCTGTTATAACATTGTCTCAACTTAGTTTTTATCTTAAGGGATAAACTTTACATCCGAGAATTAAATGTCAATGAACTAGTTGTGTTCAAATGTAAGAGAGTTAATAGTCGAAATTATCAGAAAGAAGGCCAATACTCAGCTTAACTTAAGCTTCAAGCTTCACTTTTTTTTTTCTTTTTTTCCTTTCTCTCTTCTTTTTCCTCTTTTTTTCTTTTTTTTTTCTTGGTTCTTTGCAAGACCAAGTAGATTCATAAGTCTGCCACATTTGCCAGTAGGGGTAGCAAATACATTATTTCAGCATTAAATAAATTCACAACAGCTTCGATTTAAAACATAAGAGCTAAACGAAAATCAACAGCTCCAAGCTAAAAATATTTTAGGTAAAAACTCTTGACTAAACTATCGAAACTTAACTAAACTAAGCTACTATGTACACAAAGAAGAAGAAATGAAAATGGCAGAAAACCATAATCAATACAATGATGCTATGATGTCACAATTTAGCATGGATTTTAATTTTTAGAACCAAATTTTATCTTGAATAACTTTGGAATTAGGTCAAATTAGTTTTTTACTTATTTAGAACAATTGGAATGTGTTCAAATCAATCTGAAATGCAAATCCAAGAGGTACATTTAACCTTAGCAAAATAATGTTTCTTTAAATGATTTGTCTAATCAGCATTTTAAACTTCCTTGATAGAAACTGCTCTTAAATGATCATATACTGCATGTGAAGCATTCATTTTCATAAATAACACCATTCCCAGTTCACCTGTTACAAACTGACCAGCCTTCTATAAAGATCATCTTTATTTTCGTTTCTCTGGGATATTGTGCTTATTCTTCTGCAAGATACAGCTTTAAATGTGGCTTTTGAAAGTTTTTTCTTCTTCCTCCATATTCAGATTCTTTAGATTGCTCAAGATGTTCTGACGACACATGGCCTAATAATGACAGAGATCTCTGCATACCTAAAACAATTGAGTATCTATCTTACTTTGAGCTCATGGGTGTTCTGCTGTGTGCTGCCTTGACAATAGGAGCCTCTTTTTCCCTTATTATCATTGCTATATTCTACTCTTATAAAGACACAGCTCTAGTTCGAGCAAACAACATGGAGTTGAGCTTTCTGCTGCTGATCTTTATCACCATTTGCTTCCTTGTTGGTCTACTGTTCCTTGGTAAGCCTTCAGACTGGCTCTGCTGGATCAGATATCCAGCATTTGGGATCAGTTTTGCCCTCTGTCTTTCATGCCTCCTGGCCAAGACAACAGTGGTTTTAATGGCTTTCAGGTCCAGATTACCAGGAAGTAATGCAATGAAATGGTTTGGAAACAAACAGCAGAGAGCCAGTGTGTTTTTGGGAACCGCTGTCCAGGTAGTAAATCTTTCTAGTTGAGCAATATCTTTTTTTTTTTTTTTGTCATTTCAAATCAGTTTAAAACCACTGTCTTTTTGTCTTTCTGTCCCCTCAAGGTTCTTGTCTGTCTTATTTGGCTGCTTACCAGTCCACCCCATGCCAATTACAATACAGATTACCACAGCTCTAAAATAATCATTGAATGTGCAACTGGTTCAGATGTTGGTTTTTGGCTTGTTCTTGGATACATCGGAATCCTGGCTTGCATGTGCCTCGCGTTGGCCTTTTTGGCACGGAAGCTGCCTGATCATTTCAACGAGGCCAAGTTCATTACCTTTAGCATACTGATCTTCTTTGCTGTTTGGGTTACTTTTATCCCAGTTTATATGAGCACCATTGGAAAATATACTGTTGCTGTCCATGTTTTTGCTATTTTAGCCTCAGCTCTAGGATTACTCTTTTGCATTTTTGCTCCAAAGTGCTATGTCATTTTGCTAAAACCTGAAAAGAACACAAAGAAACAACTGATGCAAAGATAAAAACTGAGAAACAACTGCGACACATTTAGCAAAAGGAGGGACCCAAAGACTCATATTAAAGATCTTTGAATATACAAAAAAAAATCTACAGGTATTTTGGTGACTGATGAACATGTCAGAATGAGGAACAGTAACATTCAGTAAATGTTTTCTCAAATATGGGGTACAATAGGAAAAAGAAAGATAAGCTAAAAACAAGAATTTATGAATTAATCAACCCTGTGAGGAACTTTAACATGGACTAATTTTCCAACAAATAGAATGTACAATATTCTGACAAGATTCTGTGTCTATGTGAACAAGGATATCATCAAGAAAAGTCACATGATCACCCAAGTTTAAGCAGCAAATACCTTGCCTATTACTGGAATGGACATATAATCCTGTTAGATAAGTTTCATATTTATTGTTGACTTTGTATGTTCAGTCAATTCAGTTACTTTAACTACAACTTATTCATGTTTAATTTATCATATAGAAATCTGTAAATGAGATTTAAATAACTACCGGCTCAGTTAAGTCTTGTATATGTCTAATTAAAATAAATAAAAAGAATAAATATATATAGAAATACATCAGTGCCATTTTTTTTCCTCCTTAAATATCTTCCAAGAATATGTGACTTAATATAAAACTGAAAGATGATAAATTATCTTGCACAATCTTATTCAATAGTGACACTATCCATCCATCCATCCATCCATCCATCCATCCATCCATCCATCCATCCATCCATCCATCCAT